AGAAACTGACTGCCTGATATATCAACATAAAACCCAAACCGGTGTGTATAAAGACACAAATTTTGGCATGTAGGTTCCTTATTAGGGTCTAAGGGTGTTATCAGAAAGGATTTTTCCAAAATTACCCCCTAAGGGGATGAAATGGGGGTCCAAAGTTTGTAGGGCGAAACAAAATTAGTTGCACTATTTAATTCGAAACTTCACAGGAGTACTCCTATGGATAAATTAATAAACACGTGTTTCAGGTTATTTCAGAATTCAACTCCTAAAAGGGGGAAATGGGGTAAAAATTTCTAAAAATCAACATGAGTATTTATTACAGATACATGGCGTTGTCCGTTTTAGGTGACATAACATTTGTAACCTTAAAATGAATGAAAAAAAATCGATATTTTTTTACAGTTTTGGCAATAATCGTCAGTTTTATTCGTTAATATTCTAAAATCAGTCAATAAAGCACAAGAACAAGTGTAATACCCACAGTGTTGCCATATTTATCAACAGCGAAAACTTGACCTTGCTGTTACAGTTATTCAACTGTCTTAATTTTTAAAATTCGCGGTTTTTTATGGAACTACTGCCCCGTGTTTCACATAAAATATCATGCTTTTTATAAAATATCCCTTGAAAGTCGATAAATTGCTTTAATTTAGATTCTGTAGGCAATTGTTTGACATGTCCTTTATAACGGGCAGAAACCATTTAAGGGTTAACAAACTGCGTAACATAACAAACGAAACGGATAGTAACCACTGCGAGTCAACCATCATCACTGATGTCCCCTTTCATTTACGTGTTTGCTACATTATCTATAGCTAGTTAAGCCCTATTTAAATAAAATACAGTAAAAGGTTAACCCTCGTCATGAAACATACGTGTCCCTATGTACTCCATCTTAAAAGAACCGTATAAATTGGATTTCAGTCGACTGCACCCCACTCGGATGTGCCAATTTCTACCCAACGAATCGCTAGATTACCGCCGTCGCCGGTCGCACCAATATTAAATTCATCAATTCAGTAAACGCCGAGTTCGTAAACGAATATTAATTTCGACACTTCAACCAATCGCAAAGAGATTTAGGTTAGCACAGATTGTTATCTCTACGGTAATTTGTTTGTTCGACTGTTACATAACGTAGATTTATTTGCAAAATATTCAATATCGCTTATTTTCGGTTTGCAAGTAACAAAGCACAAAGTGAGTGACCGGAGCTGATGTTATTCCGCTCTCCGATATGCCACGCTTTGCAGCTTTGCTATAAAAAGCTTGCTACAAGTGTTCAAAGAAAGTTAGGTACTTTGATCTTTCCGTTGACGACTCGACGTTCACGGTTTTTGTCACATCTATGATCATACACTCGTGCAGAAATTCTAATTAGCATATTGCTATTAATCCAGAAAAAAAACATTACAGAAGAATAGTTAGTGCATAAACATTACTTGAATCATCATCATCATCATCTCAGCCATAGGACGTCCACTGCTGAACACAGGCCTTCCCCAATGCTTTCCATGTTACTCGGTTGGTAGCGGATTACTTGAATGGTTCTGGCATATTCAACATCTCATAAAATCCTCAGATAATAGAGTAAACAAAGACTCCTCTAGCCGGAGTATCGCAAAATTGATACTTTCTTAAAGGATACCTTCCCTTGCTGTAACGTGCACCATCTTTCTTACGGGATTAAAATGCCACCCTCGCCTCACATCGCACCTGTTCCGCTTTATTGCTTCAGAAGTATTATACATACTCGTACTTACTGAGAGAATTACATGAAAAATAACGCTGTTATATTTTTTCATCGACACGGAATCAAAAGCTATGTACTGAATAGGATAACAATAACAGATCAAACCTAACGAGAGTTCCTGAAAATCTCTTCGAATCCTTTGTCGATTGACGGTTCAAAGAGAAGCAATGCTGCAAGAGAAGAGAATTAATTTGCCAATAGTGCTCGCTTTTCAACAGACAAAGGTACTTTGACGGAGCTCCCTCGAGTATCCAGCAATGCTCTACAAGCAGCATTGCGGGCTTGAGCTCAAAATTGTTTCATCTATGTTTATTTTTGGAGCGCGCAAATATTGAAGGGTTGTATAATGAAATGATTTAACTAAATATTATACAAATTACCGTCCGTCCAACGTAAATAAGACCCTGTCCGCTCTCTATTATCTATTGAAACATCCCATACAACATAATAATGATTAGATTCCTAGAGGTGCGGGGTGTTCTGGCAATGGTGCCTCGGGCTCGGCCACCCACCACGGCTCGCTGTCTGTCCAGAATGTTAATTAAACAAGTCGGATCACGATTTATTTTGATAACACGAGATAACACCAACTGGGATTTCGAGTTTCCTGATTTTGGATATTTTCAATGTTTGTGAATTTTCGTCATCTTTAGAATAATCAATATGTACCTAATTATTAATGTACGAGCAGTTTTGATAAATTAATTATGGTACGGAGATAGACTGAACCTCAAAAAAGGAAGCACCTGGGTAATTTGCCGCAACAATTCTTGAAGGTGGTGAAATAGGGAAAGTTTGCATGAAGAACGAAAAAGGGGAGAAAAACTCATATCAATTCTTCAGTTAACGATCGTGTTTAGAGCAAGACAGATCGAAATACACGAGTGCGAAGCCGCAAGCAAGAGCTATATCTGATAAAAAAACCTGATTGAATTAACGTTTTACCATTTTTCTTTCAATATTTGAAAACCGGTCAGATACGTAATTACCAACGAATATCTAACATTCTATAAAAATACTTGATCATCATCGTCATGATTGTCACGGCTAGATGGAATTGGCTGAGGCCGTGCGACAGGTCCCCGATTATCCACGCATTGGGCACGGTGGTCGCGAGCGCAACCTGTGGCTGCTACCATTCGACGCGACAATGCACTTGCGCGTAATGGGAATAATGGGAATTCCACGCGCACCGATGCCACCTCGTGCCACTTTTGATTTCTGACAGCGATCTAGGAACGCGCCGTGGAATCCGCAACGAGTTTTTGTAGCAATCATGTCGGCTGGAATGCGACTAAAGAAATGCTTCACAATAAACACACAATGTGAGGTAGAGACCAAGCAAGATAATCTCGTAAATTACGATTCTTGTTGACACCTTTAGCTCCGAAAAGTTAGATTAAACATGTTTACACTTTTATTAAAATTACGTGTACCTACTATATTGAATTAGTAAAAGTAACCTTGCATATTAATTGGTAATCTTATTGGATTCTGCCAAGATAACTTCAATTTAGAAAACAATAACAATTTAGATTGTAACGAAAAAACAAACAATTTCTTTTGCACAATTTGACCGTTTTAGATCGGAATTAGCGAGCATTGCTTGCGGGTCGTTTCGAGCGAACCTAACAAGATCTAATTTGTAAGTAGTCACTAGGTTAACGATAACGAATCACAATGGGAATCGTGATGGGAGCGGGCCGCGGTGCCGCGGATGCTGGTCGTGTCTCGTGACCGGACCTGTCGTGTTCATGCTCCGCTGCCTCTGCACCATTCGCTGTGACAGGTGCGTGGTGAACTGCATTGGATCGGAACTTACGAGTGCCCACCGTAATCACAAATGGGATTTACTTTTAAAGTGATTTGGCTATTAAAGATAAACCCATAGAGCGGTACCCAGATATACTTATAATTTTATCGACTATCATAAAATCGAAATGTGTACGATCAAATTAATGGCAGTTTTAACGATTTCGTTGTCAAGAACCTGAACGTTAAACATGTTTGCTCTATAAAAATTAAATGAGGGCAATATCAGGCATAAATGACATGCAAATACAAACGACAATTTTGTCACCGGTCATTGTTAATATTTGATAAACATTGGAAATCGTATGTGTATAGAACTTCCAAAGCAAATAGCGTGCAAGGCAAATACCACTAGCGATGGTGCGATGTTCTATTGTTTATAGTTTGAACAAAAGAATCTGTGAAATAATTCAACAGCTACGAAACAATCTAGAAAAAGGAGTTGGTGGTGCAATCATCTTAATTAAAGTCGGGTCGTGACCGAGGGCGAGGGCTGCCCGAGAACTTCGGAAGGGATGCACGCCCCTTGCACGACTGCGATCGCTTTTGCTCTCATAATCCCGATGAAGTAATCATTTCTCGAATAGGTACCTACTACTTCCTTCGAGTTGTGCGGTAATTTTATGGCGCTTAAGTTTTATTCATCGCGGTTTTAGCGGGTGTTAATTAGGCTTGACTAATGCTAATGAGATTCATAAATTAAACATTAAACTACCTAACCCCTCGTTTTCATTGAACTAATATTACAAGCAGCAGAAACATAATAATGTTTGTGGTTATAACTCTGGATAAAAAGTTGGCCGAGATATCAATCGAGAATATTGAAGCATTTCAAAACAATACCCATATCAATTTCCAACTCGTTTTGCAATAACAAATATTCAAACGATGTCGATGTTATCAATCTGGCATAAATAAGTAGGTAGTTTGTTTTTTGTAAACAATGCCCGCCGTAAGATACTCCCACGCATCCCTATTCTTTCCTTGTCATTATCCCAATTCTCTCGATAGAGACATTAGAAATTATAAGTGGTACACCTGAACAAAAACTATAAGGCCTCTGGGGGAAAAAAGTAAAATAATATAATGTGATGCGAGACGATTTGCTACAGTTCGGGCGCGCCATGTTATTTTTATTAAAGTTTTTTGTAGAGGCACGCGTTTATTGCTTTGCGTCTTGCGTCTGAACAAGAATTATACTGCCTTGGTGACTACAAACGATATTCGTTTATACCTACACTAATTCGATAACTTTTTAAACCTTTTTTCTTTACATTGATCCACACTTTTGCATTTACATTGATGATTTGATTTGATGCTTGATGATTCATATACCTACTCGGTGCAAGTATTGTTTTGCTAAAATATCTATTCTAAGTAGACTAGAGTAGGCCCATAATAATATGATTATGCTATAATCTAAAGCTAAACTCACCTCCGTTTCCAGCGTTGGTGATTGTCACCCAAAAGTCAATGGTCTTCTCAGGTCCCAACTCCTCATAGTCCCACTTCTTTTTAACTTTCACTACACCACTTGGTTCAACGGTAACCCATGGATTTTCGTCCCGAATTTTAAATGTCTCGCGGTCGGTTTCTTTTTCAAGCGTAAAAACTGCACGTCCTTCTACTTCACCGTCAGCTTCGGTGAATTCGATACGTTTCGTCGGACGGACTGCACGAGTAACGCGACGCTTCTCGCGGTGAAGCGTTGGCAATTTCTTTCTATTGCGGATCACGAATTCGAGAAAGACGCGAGCAGGTCGGCTCTTACGCGGCGGAGAGCCAGTGTCGTGAGCAAGCACCCTCAACTCCGCCTCGTGGCTGTCAGGTTCACCCGCCAAAATTAACTCCCCCGTCTGCGGCACTATAACTGCCAGATTGCTCGGGTTAGTCAATGAATAATACACCCGATCGCCGTCAGCATCGTAAGCGTGAACCGTGCCAATACTAGAGAATCTCTGCCAATGAGCCGAACCATTCGGACCATTTTCATTAGGTGTCCCATTCACAGCAAAATAATAGATCTCTTGCTCGAAAAGGGGCTCGTGGTCATTTTCATTAGTGACGTCGATCCGGACGGGCAGGCTGACTTTATTGGCCCCGTGAAGGTCCGTCGCTTGAATAACCAACTCGTAGAAACTCTTTTCTTCAGTGTCCAACGGTTCCGTAGCGATAATCTCTACATCGCCCTCCGTAATGACAGATTTGACGGCAGGAATTTCGTGTGAACCTTTACTTTTATCTCGCAGCGAAAACACGGAGTCTTGGTTCCCCTTGAGAATTTTGTAGGCGATGGGGCCTACGTCGACTAATGCAGTAGCCTTGAGTGGGGGAAGGTCAACGGCAGTGCCTGCTGGCGCATTTTCGGGAATCTCTCCCCGCAGGTGGTCAGCACCAGCAAAATGTAGCATCGTCCTTCTGTCCACGACTAAGAGGTGGATGGAGTGGGCGGCGCTACTGTATGGCGTTTGCTCCAAGACGGCGAGGTTGAGCGGCTGATTAAGTAGCGGTTCTAGGTCAGCTGTGGTCATGAGTAGGCCGTCATCGAGGAGTGTGAAGAAGGGAGCGTACTCGGGGTCAAGGAGCGTGTATCTGGAATGGTTGCCGGTGAAATGTCGAACTGCGTGCCCGGGCCGGACATCGTGCGGCACGAGGATGAGCGCGTGTGCTATGCTCAAGGCGCAGAGCAAGGCCCCGCCTGCTAGCACAGTTCGCGCCATTATTGTTGTGAGTTCCTCTCAGTCAGTCCAACATCCCATGCCTAGAATAGAATACATCGTTCAGTGTAAATAAATATTCTTCAAATATTAAAGAGCCTACTTACACACCTATTGGATGTTATGAATATGAAGATAACGTGGTGACAAAATGGCAGAGCTGTTTGTTTATGTTAACCTACAGTTAACTCCAGAGATTAGGTAATTATCGGACAAGTAGGTACCTACCTACCTACATACATATTTAATCACCTACCTACTTGGATAGGTGTTTTAAAAATATTAACTGCTGGCTTAATCCTTACTGTGTTGCGTTTTTTAAAGACAGAACTTTATATATGTATATGATAACTAATTAAAACATTAAATTAATTAGGTATCCAGGTAGGTAATCGTACTTCTAGTCTTTCATTATGATTATAACTTGAGGATCCATCAATAGAGCTAGAAAATATTACTTACTATAGGGGCAAGAGGTAACTATGGGGTCAAATAACACCTCAATAGGTTACAGGTAATTTAACATTAAGCAAAATAGTAAGTCTCAAATCTTTCAACAATTAAAATTCTAAATCACGTAGGAGAGAGCAACGCGTAAAACCGATAGCGCCGCGCTCTCTCTGAAATTCAAAATGCCCAAATTAAAAAAAAACCTTAACTACGAGGTAATAGGAGGTGGGTATTCTAATTAACCGGAAGATATTACCTACCTAGTTAAAGCTTCGTTATCGCGACGAGCACTAACATTGAAATAATAAGATTGTTAATTATCTTAGGTGGAAAGTGTGGAAACCTCAGATCAAAGTTCTATGATCTGAGGTGGAAACCTATCACAAAATTCCAAAACAGAAGCGTAGGTAGTCAATGCTTCATCATCAGCCACCTGAGGGCAAGTCAAATCAACTCTGATTCTGAGTCAATTCTGATCTAACGTCCTAACCTGTGCCTACCACAAGCTAAATGAGTGTGTGAATAGACGAAAACAAATCAGTTTCGAAAGAACTGAATGACAGTAAACAGGTAGGTATGTTTTTAATTAACTATCGTTGCAATTATGTGTGGCATGCGACAGGATGACGAAAACGCGCGCCGTCGGTGCACGGCGGCCGACGCGTCGGTCCTAGCGCGGGCGGGCCGACACGTAGGGCGGCAGGCAAGGCGCACACACGCGAGCTTTATTTAGGCGGCAGGCGGCGACGCCGGCGTCTCGCGAGCCGCGCCGCCGCCGATCAATACCCCCGTTGCGCCGTCGCGCGACCTTTTTCCGAGCCAATCTCGACTCTCTGCACGCTCCCGTTCACGACACCATCAAATATTCACACACTCATTTTGCTGAATAACACAGCTCACGCTATTTCTGCATACCCAAACACCGTCTTCCAATTCTCAAGATTCGACGCAATCCTACTCTTAACGATGTGAGATATCACCACCAGCCAGCCAATAGTTTTCAGAACCAGCCGTTGTCACCACGCTATTTCACATTTCAGACACCATCAAACACCACTACACGACTAATTAACAACATTTTCATTCACCAATTAGAAACAATCCATGATTAACCTAAACTTCGATAGTAAACATGTGATCTGAATGTAAACAAATTAAAGAAATCCCGATAAATACGAACTCTACCACACTCAAGAAGGTGGTTAATCACAATAGAACTAGGTTTTAATTAAATAGTTGCTTTCAAAATACGTACTTCATGAAAGTGATACACTTTTACGATATCGGAACGTTTGACAGATGCAGTCGAAAAGAGACATACAGTCCGCACCCGACAGCGTCTGAACGAGACTGAATCGCAGCCGGCCGCGGCGCGCGCGCGTATCGAGCGCGCCCCGCCCGGCCCGCCACCCCCGCGTGACCACCCCTGTCCCGGCCCGGCTCCTACAAGCTTTGCCACCCCTCCGCAAAGCTGCATGCACTATAATTCCCCTTTCTTTTCTATAATAATATCTCATATTTGGCAATATGCACCAAATGCTACCCTGAATCATGCGTGGCGTTACGTTACGTTTTTTGTGTCAAGTAAATATTTTCGTTGTAGGAGTAGATTTACACAATCGTGTTAAACTTACTTAGCTACAGCCATTTCTGCTTCTGTACACAGAATAATAAAAGGTCATAGACTCCCTCAAAGAGGTCAATCAGGGATAAAGAGCTACCTACCTAAATTACCATATCTGTTATGACATGAAAAATTAAGTAAAAATCAATCTCTATTATGCTATTATGGTCATCATCATCATCATCATCATCATTTCAGCCACAGGACGTCCACTGCTGAACATAGGCCTCCCCCAATGCTTTCCATGTTGATCGATTGGTAGCGGCCTGCGTCCAGCGCTTCCCTGCTACCTTTACGATGTCGTCGGTCCACCTTGTAGGTGGACGTCCCACGCTGCGTTTTCCGGTACGCGGCCTCCATTCCAGAAACTTTCTGCCCCATCGGCCGTCATATGGTCATCGCGTCGATAAAATTGCACTAGGAATAAATAAATACTTGCTATTGGATTTCAATGCCTAAGTATTTTTGCACACTTCAGACAACTTTATTCTTATTGGAATTTACTCAACTGAACCTGGCTACTGCCAAACCTTCTGCATGCAGCTAACGGTCCATGGCGAGCGGCTGCTTTCAATGCAGCGCTTCAGCTGCTGCGTCGTGACGCGGCGGTTTTAAATAATTGAATTCAAGGGAAAATTAAATCGTTTAAAATCTCCTTGGTTGTTGCGATGTTTACCTACTCCGGGCGATGTTACCTGCCCCCCTAGACAAAACGCACTTTTTGATCGAATCGACAATCGAATCCGTCAAAACTCCATACAAAAAGGGGCTTTTCGACCACTTTTCGACTGGTTTGCGATTATAATTTGCACTTTGTCTAGACCCACTGCACTTATGTAGGTATTCTGTGGTAGGTTAGTAACAAAGTAGGTATGTTGGTAAGGTGCGATTTCGAATGCACCAGGTGCGTTGGAAATTCAGCATTATTATTATTACCATTAAAATGTCGGCATCTGATCCAGATCAAAGGAGTGCAATTTCTGTTGCTACTATTATGTATTCTGTGCCTGCACCAACTTCCACGGAATAGGAGCTAGTGGGTAGGTAATTAATTTGACAGGTTCAATGTTTTTACTGATTTAAAATCAAGTGTACAGTGGGCCACAGTTCCAGTTACCCATTTCAATAAGAATTCCATTTGTTTTGTGTAGATGCTTGCTTTTATAAATAATAATAAAATGATATGTAAATATAATTATTATTTGAATATTTTAAAAGGTCACCTTACTAGGTTTACTAAATCCTGTAATAACCAAGGTGAACGGCTGACATTATAATGCTATACAAAAAACAATTTAAACTGCCTAGCTACATCCGAAACTATCCGAAACTTTTGAATCGGTTACGGTTACAGTTTCGGATATTTTTTTATTTCGGATATCCGAAAGTTTCGTTTACGGTTACGGATACCCATAACATCCCTGGTAGGGTAAGTGCGCTAGTTTTCGTCCAATTATCGGAGTTGCCAACTTTGTGATGCGAAATGAATATCTTAAAATACCCTTACTCATATGTATCATTATGTCGTTTTAGTCCTTATATAGTCTACTTTACGTTAATATTATATGATAATAAGTAAATACCACGGGTTTTTTTATAAAAAATATTTTATGCAAAAGAGGCGATTTCACTAGTTTTCGTCCAAAAAAATCAGTTTTCGTCCTAGCGTACGCTAGTTTTCGACCACTGTGTAGAAAAAAGGGTGCAGTTGAATTATTAACTTAAAACCAATTCTACAATACAGTAACTATGGATTGTGGTATATCATTTGAAAGGTAATTTTGTTAGCTTTCAAATGATATCAAAAAGATTTAAATAAGTTTCTTACCTAAATTTAGGAAAATATTTCAAAAGGTCGAAAGACAAATGGATGAAAAGTAATCTACAGGAATAGCTAATTTTGGTTTTCGTCCACCCCAGTGCTTGCTCATGACGTCATGGACGAAAATACAACAACGTTTAAAGCTGTTTTTTGTTTTCGTCCACATCTTTTTAACGGTTTTTATGGGTTTATCACTGTTAAAAAGTGGACGTAAACTAAAATGTTTAATGTAATAGCAATAAAGATCATATTGGAAGAAAAAACATTGTATTTTGTAGGTCCATTGAAGTAAAATGATTAATAAAAATATTAATTAGGTGTCAGGGTTTCCGTCCACGTGGACGAAAACCAAAATCTTGCAAAATTGTTATGCTAGTATTAGTCCACTTAATTATCTAAGATTTCTATACAAAAACTTTAATAAACCCTTAAAATAGTGTTTATTATGCTAATAATTAGACATACGTGCCAAAAACATTACGTAAAGTAGCTAAAACAGTAATTAAACATACCATGAAAGTTCCCTACTGGCACGTTTTTTTTCTAACTTGACTACGTTTTCCATTCACCTGTGTGCAGCAGCAACTTCCGTAGATTTTTTTGGAGTTATTACTTGTCAAATTACATTTTCATGCAGGCAGAACTGTTACTTAGATATTATAGATTGTAACAAGTCCAAACTTGCACGGAAAGTTAGGTTTATATTCTAATTTTCCGTATTTGTTTGTGGCAAGTCGGTCAAATGGACGAAAACAGGAGCTGGATGGAAAACCGGCGCAATTACCCTACCTATACGGTACGTAGGTACATGCNGGGGGCTGGCTCCTATACAACATTAGAAGAGTCGTAAGGAACCCTTCGTAAATCCGACTCGAATTTGGTGGGTTTTCTATAATTGCTGCCGGCCTTTGTAACGCCGCGTCTACTTTAACCGAGTCTATCAGTCGCTTCTAGGATTGACTAGGCAAAGCCCGAAACAGATTACTTATTTTCATTTAGACGTTTGACTGAACAGTTTAGGAACTCCTAGGTTTGACTTATTTCGGGGTTTGCCCGAAAGCCTTGGTCAAACCTAGGATAGACCAGTCATTCCGCGAAGAGACTGCATATCGACCTTTGACTATGACACATACATACCTTATCATAAGGTATGTACGAAAACAACAGAAAATAGAGTAAGTGGTGCTAAAATGCTGCTTTTACACTATGCGGAAATTAGCCGAGTTAAGTCAAAAAAACAGAGGAGTGGGGATGAAATTCATTCACAAATTCATCCCCACCCCACTGTTTTTATGACTTGACTTGGCTAATTTCCGTGCAGTGTAAACGCAGCATAAGCCTTATATTTACTTACTCTAATTTCTGTTTGTACTCTAAGGTTGACTAGAAGATGTGCTCAATGTGCAATGAGTATTGTATTGTCGAAAATACGGGGAAATCAAGCTGTATCGTAGGTACCTATTAGGGATGTTATGGATATGGTAGTTTCGGTTATGGATACGGTTAATAGATATAGGAATAATATTATACCGGTTTCGGTTACGGTTTTTTTTATTTCGGATATCCGAATGTTTCGGTTACGGTTACGGATATCTGTGCTTTAGAATGCAATTTGCAATAGTTGTCCAACACGGTTCATTCATGGCCGCACCATAAAGTTAATATTCCTTTATGGGCCTTTAAGGAATATTAACTTTATGAGCCGCACACTTTATATCGAATAAAAAGTAATAAAACAATAAAAATTGATACTAGATGGCATAATAAAGGTAAATCAGGCTGTTATGCCTTTACATTATAATGCTATACAAAAAACAATTTAAACTGCCTACATCCGAAACTATCCGAAACTTTTGAATCGGTTACGGTTACGGTTTCGGATATTTTTTTATTTCGGATATCCGAAAGTTTCGTTTACGGTTACGGATACCCATAGGCCATAACATCCCTGGTACCTATACGGTACGTAGGTACATGCAGTGTGTTTGACTCATAAACACTGCTAGATTTGTTCAGTGGCGGCGAAGGTAGCATGGCTTGGCACCCGGGGCGATCCTCTCCCCCCCCATAGTAGCTGGGGACTAAGGCACCCCAGAATGGTCTGGTCTGGTGCCCCCCAGAATTTTTGGGTTACCGATTCGAAGATGACAGATGTTGTTAGTACGAATGAGCTTTATGATACCAATCGCCCCGTATCATGACAATCATGACCGTCCTTGTCATGCAGATGCGCTAGTGAGTACTAATCTGAGCGACTGTTGTCAACCCCTGATGCTTGGCACCCGGGGCGAACCAATGATTTCTTTCTAACTTCAGTTTGCTACAACCATGTCTCCCCCATTAAAACTATACACATGATTTACATAAAATCGTTTACTTATTTTACATAATTAGAGACAGCCTACTTAAGCTATGTCATAATATTATGATGGAATTTGTAAATAAAACAAAATAATTTATAGAAACAATATATTATCAAACAATTTTTTGTAGACTAGTACAAAAATAGCCAAAGCTAAAGCACTGAGCAACTTTTTTGTGACTTAAAATTAGTAAATAAAATAGGTATACATAGTTTCATTAATTCTCATAGTATATTCATAAAATCTTCAATATATATTCTGTACAATATAATAATACATATATGCAAAGTGACAACAATAATTCTCTTCTGCACTTTGTGCATAATAATTGACAAGGCAACTTTAGTCACCAATAAATAACAACTAAATGGGATGAGTGAACTGCTTTGGACCTATATTGTCACTGGAATTCTTATATCTAATTTCTTTAATTGTTAATTGCTTCCCTTGATGTATTCTCTGAAGATGACTTCTCATATCATAAGATCTGGAGAATGATCGTAGACAAACAGGGCACTGTGTTTTACCAGCGTGAGAGTCCTTGTGCAATGTTAACGATGTAGGATGCTTGAAGCCTTTTGGACACAACTGGCAGCGAAACTTAGCCAACTCCGATTCTATAATGAAAAAAAAGTAATGTTAAGTTACATAATAATAACAATTACTCAAAGTTCACAATAAAACATTAGTTGGAAATACTTAATTGTTCTATAAAACCTTGGTAGTGGAGTATATGCTTGGTTTTCTCCATTAGCTTCATGGCAGAATATAAACATGGTTTTAGTGAATTATAAAAAGTGAGTTAGTATGCAGTAATTTTATAAAAAGGACTGACTGATGTAAATTACGTTAATAATTGTGAAAATTAAGTTTATATCATTTAGTGATGTTAATACATTATCTTTCGGCATGATAAGCCTATTTTTTAAACTATTATTTATGCAACATAGTGAATTTATAATTAAATAAATTACCTGAACTACTCTTCTCAGACAAATCTTCCACTGAAGTTGACTGATTATCCACCTGCATTTCCTCACTAGCCGCAGGTTTTGTCTTGCTTTCATCCACTTTTGAACTTTCAGGTTGAACCTCAATATTCTCATTATCTTGAGATGAAGTTTCAGGAGTCACTTTAACCAAGTTTGCCTGTGGAATGTACTCATCTTTACTGCTCTGTACAGGAGCTAAGTTTATAGGCTCATCAGACAGCACCGGCACAATATCTTCAGTAAATCTATGAGACTTCGAACTTAAGTCTAAAGAAGTATCATTCATGCGCAACTGGCCTTTAGATGATTCATCCTCCGCATTATCTGTTAAACCCTTGACTTCTAAAAGCTCAGCTGTAATTAAAAATGATTCCAATTGCTCCTGAAATATGTTTACTTCCCCATGATACATGAAATTTATGATTGCATTAAGATCTTCGTACTTGAAGTTTCTAAATATTATCACAGGATGCTGGCAAGGGTTTTCTTTAAAAATCTGTTTGAAATAATTACTGCAAGCAGACAGTAACATTTTGTGAGCCTTAATTTTACCACCATCACAACACAGGGTTACATCAACCAAATCATTTTCGAAACGTAACACGTTGAAAGCCTCCGTAACATGGGTAACGTAATTGTTCCAGCGCAAAGAAAACTGTGGTGCATTATTCATTATATTGGTAATTAATATTTCAACAAAGTATTGTAATCGCCCTAAAATAATGAGGAAAACTTAACTTTTTTGACAGCTGACTGACAAGTCATCTTAACTTTTTCCATAGAGTATTTTCAAATATTAGGCACAGATATTTTATTTTATACAATGCTACCCTATTGTAGAAATCTGAGGAAAAGAGACTTATTTTTATTAATTATTACGTTCTTATCTGTTCATAACCTTGCGCTCAATGATTATGATTTATTTTTACTAAAGTAATTTAATTTACTTTTAGTGCTATATTAACATAATCTTTGCTTAATTATTATTGTTAAAAAGTAAACTGTTATGTCTATCAATTTGACACTAATGACATTGCAAATTGAGCAAGTTTTTTGGTTGGAAATTGCTACTGAATGAAAGAAAATAGTATCAATTTCCCAAATTTCACTGTTTCAACTCTTTCTAACAATTCATTAAAACAATGGTAATGTTAAAAAAAATACGTATTAGTATTTATTGAAAGTTTTGGAATATTAGCTAATTATTTAACTTTGCAGCACGGTCGTGTGAAAGTTCGAACAACTGAAGAAGAAATAGCTCGTAAGAAGAAGGAGCGCCAGGAAAAGCTTAAAAAATTCAAATATGCTATGCAAAAAATCCAAAGCAAGGTAAGCCCCTATTCAAAGAAGATTAGAAAATCTATCAATGCAATATTCATCAGTGTGTCATCAGTTCTTTGTAACTTCCTTGCTGTAATCTAACTCATTGCTAAAAGTTTTACCTTTACATGTTTTCCTAAAACTTCTATCATTTTCAGAGGAGTCAAGGGGAGTTAGACAAGGAGTTATTGGAGTTAACAGGCAATGTTTTATCTGGAAATCCAGATATTTACACTTTGTGGAATATTCGGAGGGAGATATTTACAATATTTGTGTAAGAACTTCTATACAATTTGATATATTGGTGCAATCATTAATAGTTTTTGTATGAAGTTAAATAAAAATGAGTTTATTAAATTTTCAGAAAGGATGATGCTATGCAGGAAGAATTAAGTAGTATGTTTGATGCTGAGTTACAGTTGACTGAATATTGCTTGAAAATAAATCCAAAGTCGTATGGTGCATGGCATCAGAGAGAATGGGTGCTCACAACTAGGTCTGATCCAAACTGGGCCCAAGAACTGGCTGTTTGCAATAAATATTTAAAATTTGATGAAAGGAATTGTAAGTAATATCTATTTTTTATAAGTTATAGGCTACTGCACATAATCACTGTTTTTATTGTAATTTACCTGCCATTTCATTGACAAACAATACTTACTTAAAAAACTGACTCAGAATATTGTATCTTAGTTTAAATTCAGTTAGTTTTAATACATAGTAATATGTCATTCATGGAGTATTTTTAGGTACGCTGTCTTGCCTTCTCCTTTCAACGGCAAATTACCAAAAAATTGCATTAAAAACAACAACCCAATTTGTGCTGCACATGCAACATCTACCATAATTTTTATGTTTCATGATAAGTATTATTTTTATTTCAGTTCACACATGGGATTATAGAAGATTTGTAGTTAGCAAATGCAAACCCCCACTAAAGGATGAGTTTGATTTTACTACAGAAAAGTTGCATGATAACTTTTCAAACTATTCTGCTTGGCATTACAGAAGTAAAATGCTTGTAGCATTGTATCCTGATTTAGAAGGTAAAAAATGTCTTGTTTGAAATTGTTATTTAAAATATTTGTTTATGAAATTAAGGGCTAAACATTATCATTTTAGTGTAAGCTAATAAAACTGGTCCAGTTTCATAAAATATCCGAAATTTACAGCTAAAATCTCTTTCTTTCAGGAGGAAGGCCTATCGAAGATAGCCATCATAAACATGAGTTGAAAATGGTGCAAAGTGCTGCATTTACAGATCCTGATGACACTAGTGCATGGTTCTACCAAAGATGGTTATTAGGTGATTTTCATTTTTCTTTTATGTCACAAAATTTTTGGAGGCATCATAAAATATACTGCATTGTACAATAAAAAACTTGAATTTTTCAGGTGCTGTGAAGAATAGTAAACATTTAGTTGTAGTTACTGTCACACCATCAAAGGCCACTCTGGCATTTAACCAACATGTTTCCTACGACCATGTAAAGGAAAAAATAAACATAACTTTCAATAAACTACCAGTGACTGGTAATTGGTTATCGTGTACTGAAAACCAGTATGATAACTTGTGGATTTTTAAACATAATGAAACAATATTAGATGATATGGAAATAGAGGTACAGTATAAGTTTCGTTGAAGAAAAACTAAATACTAAAAAGTTTGATTCACAGATATCAGTTCTTGTCTCTACACCATTGATATTGGAAATCTAATGTTATTTTTTCCAGGTGCATTATGATGGGGATGATGGCAAGCAAACCATTACATGTATGAGAGTGATACCAAACACATTTGTTGGCAAAAACAAAATTAGTTTTCAGAAGAACTACTCAGAACCTGTGATAAAGGAACTGGAAACACAATTAGATGCTTGCCGGCAGCTTCTTGCTTTAGAACCAGATAACAAATGTTTGTAATTTAAAAATTCTGAGATATTTTATCATATGACATCATATATTTTCATATAAATTTTGTATAAAATTATTCTAAAAATGTTTATATTTCAGGGACATTGTTGACTACAACTGTCTTTCTTTATTGCATTGATGCAAAGCTCTATCACAATGAAGTTATTCAAAATTTACAAACACTCAAAAGTATTGACAAATTACGTGATGGATACTACAACGATTTAAAAACAAAATGGTGCATTGAAAACCAACTGTATAATGACTTTGAAAACAATAGTATTTCATTGAAAATATCTTTTGATGAGAAGATAACCAGTCTTCCACATTTGCAGTACTACAGTTATTGCGAAAATGTTGATTTGTCTGATCAGAAATTATCTAATAAAGTGCTGCCCTCTTTAGTAGTGCTACAAAATTGCAAGGTAAGAAAATCAATTGAAAGTCAATACCTCACTATCTAGGAATCTTAGATTTTTTCTCAGTAACAAATTGGCATAAAGAGAAAGCTTATTTGAACTGTGTCTAGGTTCAATAAAAATATCTAGCTATGCAACTTTAATGTTAGTGCATTCAGAAGTTAGTAAAACTATGTAATATGGTATAAAATATATTTTATTTACTTTCAGAACTTATCATTAAGGAATAACAAACTTACAACCTTAAGAGGATTCCCAAGTTTGGAATTGGAAGTATTGGATTTACAAAACAATGATTTAGATAAGACTGAAGTGGCACTATTACAGGAAAAACTGAACTGCAATATAATCTTTCGATTAAATCATAAATATCTAGATAGATAATTTGTTAATTGTTTTTTGTGTTGCAAAATCAAGCACAACATCCCACTATTAAGCTTGCCTTGACTTTTATTCTGAAATATATTATTATGCTATCTAAAATATGTATAATCAGTGGATATCCTGAAATACCAAATACTGGTAACAAAAGGATTCCTAACTATATTATGTACTGAATTTTCAAAAATTTTCACCAATTGCCTTTTTTATCAAGAAAATTAAATAGAACTTATGACTAAAACTATAATAATGTAATGACAAATTCTGTAGGCAATAGTTATGTTATTGGTGATTGGAAAAATTACCTTTAAATTAAGTTGGACATAGGTACAGGCAACATTATAAGACTATGTGCAATTTGTTGCAAAATATTCTCTATTACAGATACATAAGAGCCAACAATGTTTAGCTTGATTTATCGTCATCTGTACTTTAAAATTTTGCCATAACATACTAAGGAAATAGACATGCCCATATTAGGAATAACACTCAAATCAAGAATAGATTCATGGCAGTAGTTGGCATTTACATTTAATTTAACCATAATGTACAAGCTTATGTCTTTAATAGGTTCAAGCATAGGCTTGAACCTATTATAGACATAATATTTATAATTATATCGTATTTTGAGCGTTATTACCTAATTATGGACCACTTACAGATAGTGAACATATTGGATTCTGATCCCTAGTATGCTATAAACATAACAACAGTAATACAAATATCTATCCTAATAATATACTACTTAACTAATTGGATATTTATTATACATTTAAAACAAACCAAAGAAAATTAATTGTGTTAAACTACTTTTTATACACATTATTGCCTTGTTTCATGAGTGATATGATATATTTCTTTGGATCTGTATCTGTACAAGTGTTTGGACTGGATTTATTGTTTTTAAATATACTGACATAGGTTGGCTGGTGTATTTCAAAGATTTAAGTACAACTAGACTAATTGTTGTTGTAAGTAGTATTTCATTTAATACTTTTTGATATATTTTATGTTTGTAAATAAACATTTACATGTTATCTACTTAGCTATAATGATTTTTGTAACTTGGTAAATAGGTGGAAATATTTTATTTATCATCAGTATCAATACTATGTTACATAATGCTGTTGCTATCCTAAATTGACGCAATTTATATCCATATGCAAATGAATTTGTAAATTTTCTTCAGTTACTTTTAAATGTTATTCACATAATGTTATGTTATTATCACTTAGAATGTATATTCTACCTCAAATAAACAAAATCATTTGTACATCATCTCTCTCATTTTGTACCACCACAATTGGTTCTATTTACCAAAAGGAAAGTTTTGTTATACTAAGTATTGTGTCACTTACAGATTTTGATAGTTCATCACTATCTCTAAACAATGTCCCACAACTTTCACACAATAATCCTGGTTTGTTTGATGGTGAATTAACATTTTCAATTTGGATTAATGCCCCTTTTTTGGTTTTATAAGAGATATTGTTTGGTTTTATGACATTTACAACTTTGTATAGATCTTCGTCACAATCTGAGTCACTCAGAAAATTATCCAACTCGTCAATATCGTCATCATAGTCACTACGGTGGTTATTTGGGTAAGAACTATAATTCGCTCTAGAAGCTTGATATTCCTTACAAATAGCTTGGACTTCATTTGGACTTAACTTAGTTAATTCTTTATCATTACATTTAATACAAAACTTGAAAAGATCACTTTGCTTAATACCTACATTTAAAGAATTAAATACTATTTGTAGTTGATCTACGACAATTCCTTTACCCACATTAATTATTGAGCTTTGAGGAAAATTCACATCAGGGGTGCCCCTATGTTTCGTCAACAAAATGTACCTCTCTTCGCTTGTTGCCAAGTTAACGACATCACACCATAACATTGTTTCAGGAAATACTGTTGTATCTATTCCACAATATCTTAAGTAAGCCATTAGATGGGATATTTTTGGTTCAATTAGTACCTTTACTTCATTAGTGGTTCTTGAATGAATACTTGGCATGAATGGAGATGTTTTCTCATAAACTTTGACTTTCTTCAGTGATTTCTTCTTTGGTTCTTGCATTGCTACATTGCAAATTTCTTCAAAATTTATACCTTGCTCCACACACAAGTTTTGGAGATATCTGTATACTTCTACTAATACGTAAGCATCTAAAGCAGCATAAAGTATTTGCGTTTTACGTAGAGGTCTCAGTTCCCAGTTTGAACACTGTTCTGATTTTTCAAGAGGCAATCCAAAACAAGATTGAACCAAATTGCTTAGGCTATTGCCGGTTTGCTCATCACAATTTGGCACAGATAGACCACTGTTAAGGAGATTTCTCCAAAGTGTGGACAGGTCTAACAATCCTTCACCTTTTACTTTGATATTTCCTAAGCTAATAACAGATGCCTTCATTTCTTTTAAATCTTGTTCAAGTCCAAAACCCAGTTTTATTATTTCAGCGTTGTCTAAGAATGTTTTGTAAAAGGTATACCAGAAACTTGAATATGATTGACTGTTTAACAGTAAAGCGTCAATAAGATAAATGTGAGTGTATGTAGCCACTTGAATTAAGGCGACTTGAGATTGCTTGGCTCCAAAGGAGGGTTTCCATTCACAGTCAATACTTACGAGACTACATTGGCTTAGTAATGTCATCAGATCATAAAATTTTTCACCAGTATCTATTAATACCACATGTTCTTCAGGTAAAGATAACTTATAATATTCAAGTGTGCTGTTCTCTACTGTATCCCAATTTTCTTCAACTGGTTCTTCGTTTATAGTCATTTCTCTTAATGCCAATGGTAAGTTGTCTGTTGGTATATTTAAGTAATCAGCCCATTTACGGGCTTCGTTTTTGTCATAGTCCATCAACATGTCAATGAACTCTTGAGCAGAACCTGCATTTTGTCTCAGGGAATCTTTCACTAGGTCATCCCATACAGAAGAGCTAACATTATGCTCCTGATATTTTTGGTGAATTAAATACCTTAGACCACCTGTAGTTCGGTTTTTACTGAGATTCTTGCAACTTTCAATTGGAATATTGAATTTGTTACAAAGCCTAGCTACCAATTTTCCAAGTGGCTTGTAATGTATTTTTTCATATTTTACATGACAAATTTTATTTTCCACAATATATTTTTGTGCAAATTCCCTCAAATTTATTCTTTTATCAAGTAAGTTGTCCAAGTATTGCAATAGTTTATGTACTTGACTAGGGCACTCAGTCAAGTACTCGTCAATTATATTTGTCTTATCTTGTAAAATTAGTGGGAAAAGCAACTCTTCAACTGGGATATCTTCAGATAAATCCATAGCTATAACAACTTGGGATGCCAATTTGCAATTATCATTTTTGATCATATCTTTCACTACAGGAATTATGATTCCTTTGATTGTTGGAACATGATAGGTTTTAATAAGCAAGTTAAGAAAATTATTACTTCTTTGCTGTATAGCTACATGGAATGCTGGCAGTTTTAAGGAATCGTCCGGAGTTTTACCACTTCCGATTGACCATTTTTGAAGGGTTTCTATGATGAAATATGGCAAGGTCTTTTGCTTGCAATCTTTGACATCTTCACTTTTAATAACAAACACTAAACCAACTCTGAATGGATCTAGAACGTGCTCGAAGAACAGTTCAACGTGATTTTCGAGAGTCGCGGTTTTCTTCCATGTCTTCCAAGTGGTTTTTAACTGTTGATACCAGAATAGAGTATTGTCATCCAAATTCACATTCAGTCCTAATGCACACAAAGAATCTTCTATGGATGGGACAATCTTAATAGATTGATTCTTTCCAACAAGCTGTTCTAAGTCTGGTTTACTCATGGTGAATCCTTAGGGCGAACCCAAAGCTGATAAAACCATTGAGTTTACAAAGGTCTGTTCGACTTGATGTAATTTAGGAAGTTAGTGATTTAAAGTCTGAAGAAGAACAACTAAATCACTATAGTATTCGTGGCTGTTAAACTGATGCTTGTGCTTAAAATCTTTGGTGAAAAATAGTAAAATTAGTGACTGACTGACCTACCTTCCAGCCAGCCAGAATGATTGACATTGACAGTTGAGATTAAGAGTGATTGACAGTGACAGATTAAGTCAGATTATCTCCAGAGAGAGTATAACAAGATANACAAGATACCCTGCAAATGCCAATAAAAAAATATGTAAAAATAAAGGTCCTAGCACACACATCAATTTGAAAAGGGATCGAGCGGAATAGAAAAGAAGTCTTTCGCCTAAGCTTTCACATCCGCGGCGGATGACGAGGCCGCGAAACAGCGAGCCGTAAGCTAGTTGACCACTCATGCATCGTGCGCGTGCGACTGGAGATGAAACTCGAATGAATTGGAGACATTAGCGCAATCGAGGTCCAAAGCATGGGGATCATCTTTGCATCTGATTAATCGCCTCAACTCTCACTGCGCACGCTGCGTGACCTTTATTAATGGTTTGAGTTGTTATGGCATGTCACTTGTTCAATGGCTCAGTCTATCTACTTTCTTCAGTCTAAGCCGTTTGCTTTTTTTTAATCTGTGCAAGAGTGACAGTGCGTTTATTTTTCTGCGTTTTTTTTGTGCTGCGTTTTGTCTTTCCTATGTATTACTTTTCTCTATGGTTTTGTCGTACGCTTGCTGACTTGTGATTTTATTTTTGTGCAGATAATTCCTAGTTTTATAATAATAACTATTGAATTTTGTTTCTATTTAATAAAACTTGAGAAAAACCAACCATGGAACTTTCAGCAGAAGGTAAAACTCCCGAATATATGGCCCTGGCTGGTATAAAATTTAAGCTCAGTCTTCCTGAACTAAAAGATAATGCTCAGCTGAAAGAACAGCTTCTTCAGGGAATTAAAGAAGGGCATATGGCTCCTTATTATAAGGAAGTGTGCACGGACTTGGGCTGGCCATTTGATCAAAAGTTGTATGATGAAATGGCCAACGAGAATCAGGACAGGTTATCAAAATTCCAAGAAGACGATTCAGAGACTCCTGTTTGGCAAGATCGGTATGTTTATAGTAAATTAACAATTACACCCGTTTTGATTTATGTTATTTATAGTAATTTGATACAACTTGTCCTTTTTTATTTCAGTTTGGACTACCTTTGTTCAATTGGTGACAAAGAAGCAGCAACTGCATTGGCGACAACAAAATATGAGGACTCCACACTTACCACCAACAGGCGTCTTGATGCTATATTTGCTATGTTCAGAATTGCATACTTCCATGGTTGCAATGTTAAAGATATGGGCAAGGCAATTAACAAGGTACAGTACCTATTGAAAAGTTTTTGTTGTCTTTATTGGCTACCGAAATTCATAACTTCCGTTCCATTCTAGATTGAGCTATGAGATTTTCAGTGAGATGTGAAGCTATTTTTAAATCTGCTCATACCTAGATTTAATTATTTAATCAGGAATAAAGCTAATTATTTCAGATTAATATCTTTGTTCTCATGAAGATAATTTCATTCACAGGCACATGAGCTTGTAGACAAAGGTGGTGACTGGCGCTCAAGGAACAAGCTGAAGGCGTACGAGGCGATATACTGTCTCTCTGTGAGGGACTACAGTCATGCCGCAGACCTCTTCATTGACTGTGTCTCCACTTTTGAGTCATATGAGCTGGTTGATTTTGGTAAGTTATGGATTTTTTTGTTATCTGTAAACTATTGTTGAACTGATGCTATGTCTCTTGATTGTGTTTCTACTTTTGAATCGTTATGAGCTGCTTGATTTTGGTTGTTTTAATTTTTTTGAGTTATTTTTGGACAAACAAAAACTATCAAGACACAACTATCTACAATATCAAATTTATTGCTTGTACTGATTCTTCATTGATAAACATACTGTCCGTGGATGAAATGTTTTAAGAAATATCATGTATTTCAATCAAATGTCGTCCACTGCTGGGAAAGCGCCTCTCGTAATGATTTCCACATTAACCACTATCAGAGGGATAATCATAAATCAATCAATCGTCAACACAAATATCTTGTGTTAATAATTGTGGACTATTACTTACTTACCTACCATTCATCATTGAGCCAGGATGCCATGCCATTGCAAGATTAAAATGAATTTTAATTACAAATTCCAGGCACAATAATCCAATACTGCGTGCTAGCATGTGCACTAGCATTGGAGAGACACGCGCTCCAGGCGGCCCTGCGGCGACAGGGCGCGGCCGTCCAGGCGCTGCGCTCGCGCTTCCCCGAGCTTAGGGAGTTGGTGGAGTCTCTGCATGAGTGCAGATATGCTGACTTCATGAAGAGTCTTGCTTGGGTAAGTTGATGAAGAGAGAATCATAAGATGGAACATTGGAAAATTAAAATTGTATTTGTAAATGGCAAAAACAGCCTGAACGTTATGTTAGTGACTTAGGGCTTTTAAGGATGTAAACAAATAATTAATTTGTCTATTTTAATTTACCATAGAGACAAATCTTCTCAGGAAAAAGCAAAGAATTCATCACACACTTTATTTATACTACTGCCTTGTCACAAATTGACGCGTTTTTATTAACGTTTATATAAAATTTATTATTGAGATAACTATGGAAAATTCATAGATATAATTATTCAAATCAGCAATAAAGCTAATTATTTCCCAAATAAATGTGTCTGTCACTGTTTTATGTTTCTTGTACTCTTCTAGGTGGAGACCCAGATCTGCGTGGACCCGGTGTTCCGGCCTCACTACCAACACTACGTGCGTGAAGCGCGCATCAAGGCTTACGTGCAGCTGCTTCGTGCATACCGCTCGCTGAGCTTAGACAACATCGCACACACCTTCGGCGTCACGCGCGAGTTCGTGGAGGAGGAGATCTCCAAGTGAGTGCTTTGTGGAGCAGTGTCCACCTTAGCTAGAGGGGAGCGGTCCAGGCGCTAGATGGCGCTTTATGCATGTTCTACGGTCACACTACGTCATCAAGGAGTACGTGCAACTGCTTCGTGCATACCGCTCGCTGAGCTTAGACAACATCGCGCACACCTTCGGCGTCACGCGCGAGTTCGTGGAGGAGGAGATCTCCAAGTGAGTGCTTTGTGGAGCAGTGTCCACCTAAGCTAGAGCGAGGGGTGCGGTCCAGGCGCTAGATGGCGCTTTATGCATATTCTACGGTCGCACTACGTCATCAAGGCGTACGTGCAGCTGCTTCGTGCATACCGCTCGCTGAGCTTAGACAACATCGCGCACACCTTCGGCGTCACGCGCGAATTCGTGGAGGAGGAGATCTCCAAGTGAGTGCTTTGTGGAGCAGTGTTAATTAAAGCTAGAACGAGAGCAGTAGTCACGGCGCTAGATGGCGCTATACACAATGTGCATGTCATGTATACGCACTACCTCATCAAGGCATACGTGCAGCTGCTGCGCGCCTATCGCTCGGTGAGCTTAGACAACATCGCGCATACCTTCGGCGTCACGCGCGAGTTCGTGGAGAAAGAGATCTCCAAGTGAATGCCTTGTAGAGCAGCGTCCACCTAAGCTAGAGCGAGGGGTGCGGTCCAGGCGCTAGATGGCGCTTTATGCATGTTCTACGGTCACACTACGTCATCAAGGACTACGTGCAACTGCTGTGCATACCGCTCCCTGAGCTTAGACGACATCGCGCACACCTTCGGCGTCACGCGCGAGTTCGTGGAGGAGGAGATCTCCAAGTGAGTGCTTTGTGGAGCAGTGTCCACCTTAGCTAGAGGGGAGCGGTCCAGGCGCTAGATGGCGCTTTATGCATGTTCTACGGTCACACTACGTCATCAAGGACTACGTGCAACTGCTTCGTGCATACCGCTCGCTGAGCTTAGACAACATCGCGCACACCTTCGGCGTCACGCGCGAGTTCGTGGAGGAGGAGATCTCCAAGTGAGTGCTTTGTAGAGCAGCGTCCAACTAAGCTAGAGCGAGGGGTGCGGTCCAGGCGCTAGATGGCGCTTTATGCATGTTCTACGGTCGCACTACGTCATCAAGGACTACGTGCAACTGCTGTGCATACCGCTCGCTGAGCTTAGACAACATCGCGCACACCTTCGGCGTCACGCGCGAGTTCGTGGAGGAGGAGATCTCCAAGTGAGTGCTTTGTGGAGCAGTGTTCATTAGAGCTAGAACGAGAGTAGCAGTCACGGCGCTAGATGGCGCTTTATGAATGTTCTACGGTCACACTACGTCATCAAGGACTACGTACAACTGCTTCGTGCATACCGCTCGCTGAGCTTAGACAACATTGCGCACACCGTCGTCACGCGCGAGTTCGTGGAGGAGGAGATCTCCAAGTGAGTGCTTTGTGGAGCAGTGTTCACTAGGGCTAGTAGAACGAGAGGAGCGGACAAGGCGCTAGATGGCGCTAAACGCATGTTCTATTCTACGTCTGTGTGAATCGCGATATCTCGTGATACAATGCTACGACTAATGTCAAGTCTCGTCGTGCATTCACACATATGCCGCAAGTAGGGAATGCTATTGTTTTTTTCACCTTGGTATAGCTTCGCTACTCGTATGCAGCTGCTTCCCGTCAATCCAGACCTTAGTCAGATTCTCGATATACCGAGTGGGTGGCCTACGTTCACGACTTCCAACCTTACTTTTTTCCTAACTCGGATGATATAAATAAACGCTTGTGCTTGTCAGACTACAATTTCGCCCAAAATGATGTTACTCAGCTACCGTTGTTCTAACCAACCAAGAACTTCCAGGCCATTACATCTGCAAAAGTTAAACCATATCTTCTTCCCACAGCTTCACAGCCGCCGGTCGTCTTCAATGCCGCATCGACGCCGTCGCCGGCTGCGTGGTGACCGGAGCGGGCCGCGGCGCCGACGCCGACCGCTCGCAGCTCTACCAAGCGACCATCCGCGAGGGAGACTTGCTCCTCAACCGCGTCAAGAAACTGGCCAGTGTTATCAACTTCTAAACGTTGGGTATTGTAATGTAATTTTAGTAAAGGATTTACTGCAATGTTCTGCCGCTAGAGTGCAGCACTAGCATAAAGAGTTTTTCACAAGTGTCGTTATGAGCGTGATTGAAGTTGCAAAAATAATTTGAGTTTAAACTTTAAAATAATCAATACGATATAATTNCGCTCGCTAAGCTTAGACAACATCGCGCGCACCTTCGGCGTCACGCGCGAGTTCGTGGAGGAGGAGATCTCCAAGTGAGTGCTTTATAGAGCAGCGTCCACTTGAGCTAGAGCGAGGGGTGCGGTCCAGAGGCTAGATGGCGCTATACGCATGTTCTACGTCTGTGTGAATCGCGATATCTCGTGATACAATGCTACGACTATCACGTTTCGTCGCACACTCACGCATAGGCCGCAAGCAGGAAATGCCATTCTTTTTATCGCGTTTGTGCATGCATCGTGCCTATACCCAGGTGCTTCTCACATCCACTTGTTTCCAGCATCAAGGCACTTCCCGCGATCTAAACCGATAAAATCCGTTAAACGAAGCGTTTGACAGAATAATCGGACGTTATGAACTGTCAATGGCCAATGACAGATCGCGCGACCTATGATAGTTCACGCGACCTGTCATTGGCCTATGATCGCGCCGTGATAACACATAATGCTGCGTTTACACTGCGCGGAAATTAGCCAAGTCAAGTCAAAAAAACAGGAGTGGGGATGAAATTCATTCATAATTCATCCCACATCACTCGGCTAATTTCCGCATAGTGTAAAATCAGCATAACAGTGTAACCTTCAGGTTCAGAATGTCCAATTCCCAAAATGTCCAACGGTTTCAAAACGTCCAATTTCCGGAATGTCCAATTCCCAAAATGTCCAATTCTCAAAATGTCCAATTCCCGAAATGTCCAATTCCTGGAATGTCCAGTTCCCGAAACGTCCAATTCCCAAAATGTCCAATCCACTATTATGATGGGTTTGTTAAATAAGTCTTCATAGGCTTTCTTAAAAATATTTAATAAATAACCATACTTAAATTTAAATAATCATTTATTTATTTACAAATTATTCTTTCCTTTTTAGGTCAATAGAAAAAACTATACATACTTGTATGAGTATAAAGTGCAGTAGCTTCAAATTTTTTCTACGTACTTTTTGCAAATAATACAATTTTTCTATGTTTATATGCCGATTTTGCAAAAACTAAACGCATTCGTACAGAAATATGTTAATTACTAATTTTTAAGAAAGGCTATGAGGACTTATTTAATAAACCCATCATAATAGTACATTGGACATTTTGAGAATTGGACGTTTCGGGAACTGGACATTTCAGGTATTGGACATTTCGGGAATTGGACATTTTGGGAATTGGACATTCTGGGAATTGGACATTTTGAAACCGTTGGACATTTTGGGAATTGGACATTCTGAACCTGAAGGTTTCTTTATCTTCTACTCTTCTTCCCACAGCTTCACAGCCGCCGGTCGTCTTCAATGCCGCATCGACGCCGTCGCCGGCTGCGTGGTGACCGGAGCGGGCCGCGGCGCCGACGCCGACCGCTCGCAGCTCTACCAAGCGACCATCCGCGAGGGAGACTTGCTCCTCAACCGCGTCAAGAAACTGGCCAGTGTTATCAACTTCTAAACGTTGGGTATGCCTTCAGTAGTTATTATTGTAATGTAATTTTAGTAAAGCACTGTTCAGCCGCTAGAGTGCAGCACTAGCATAAAGAGTTTTTCACAAGTGTCGTTATGAGCGTGATTGAAATTGCAAATAGAATTATTTGAGCCTATAAATCATAATTTGATACGTTTTCGCAGATTATTTTGTTGCGAATGTACGCAATATGGCGGCTTGTTTACTGTTTGTGCTAGTGGTGCCCTCTGCGACGAGTTTTGCGTAATATTTCCCATTCAACCGTCTGCTACTTAAAAGCGCCAAGAAGTCCAACAAAGTAATCTCTTTTGAAACTAGAGGGCCAAGGTCCAATATAGGGTATCATCGTCCATAAAACATCTCTACAGAAAGTTGGATAAAGGGTGCTAAGGACCTCGATACATGATACATTTATTTACCACTAGATGGCGTTAAACCGCAGTAACGCAAGACTGCTATAATTTGATCACTAGAATCCAAAGGATTTCATGAATATTTAAATGCAATATTGTGTAATGCTGCCTGGTATATTTAGAATTCAAGTAATTTTAAATGCATCATTCTACGCAAGTAATAATAATATTAAATAAATACTATTCATTTCTTGGACTTCTGTGTTAGAAATCACAATCAATAGACAATTTTTGTTCAAATATTACTAGAAAATTAAAATTTTATTTACTAATTGAATGGCTATTTAGAATTAAATGTATTACTTCAATAGTCACTACAGATGTTACTAAACTAGGTTATTGTCTTGTAATAAAACATTAAAATGTCTTTGGTTTTTTAACTTGCTATTCCATATTCCTTGCTTTAGAAAGCATTCTTCTCAATTGCGTAAAATATTTACCCTCTATAGCCTCTTTACTCAGTATCAAAATATGTGTTTTTTATGTTATTTATTTCTGCCAAAATATGTATACAGGGTGTAAGTTTGGAAAATACTCCCAAGTTTACGGGCTGTTTAGTTGACAATCAGTGAAATCACAAAAAAATTTACACAAAACTTTTAACTTGATGCGGATTAATTAACTGAGCATGTGAGTCCACTTTGCCACTATGTAAGTAAACAGTTTGTTTTTTAACATTGACGAGTGAGAAAAAGTAAAGAATAAATCTTTCGGATCTCACTTCCTGGATAAAAATGAATGATATCGAATTTCGGAGTTCATCTGACGTCACTGTTAAAGTGTTAGTCATTCATACATCCTGTTTATGTAAAACTTGCAAACAAAACAAAAAGGGAGGCAGGTGACAGGGAAAGGAAAACAAAAAATAAATTATTATAATAATTGTTTTTTTAAATAATTTGAATACTTTTTGGACATTTACATAAACATTTAATAATTTACAATGATTATTTATACTGACATGACATGACACATCATATTCATGACTAATACTACTCTCTAATGTCTATTTGCAACTTGAAAATTAATAACTTGTAGGTGCTATGAAAGTTTATTCTAGACAACTAAATTGTTGCGCTAGGCCTATCGCCCGCAAGCATCCGTTTAATACTAAGAGTGTATGCATGATTTATAAATAATTTAGTAGGACATTTATACACAGACAACTTATGTAATCAAAATATAAAACATTTTATGAAAGTAATTCAGTGTAAACTTAGTATCAAACCGACTATCGCGACTAATCAAGCATTGATAAAATGCACATTTGGAAAGAAATGTTCATATGGACACGTTTGGGTCAGTCAGAGAGTGCCGGCGAAACTACTTAATAATCGTTTAAGTTTAAGAAGTCATACTTTGCCTTACACCAGTCGCTCTCTTTACAAAGATATGTTGAAATATTCTAAAGCAACATTATAGCTATGACTCTAAATACTTACAACTATATAGACCTCAAATGCAAATACTTTTTTAATTTACATGATATGAATATGTCATTAACCTCTGTTACAATAATTAAATGTATCTATTGAACGCCTCACACATAGGCATATCAAATAGTAAGTAGGTTTAGAATTTCCATAAAAGTTGGTACACACCTACTGGTGGCAAAAGGATATAGGTCTAACAATGATATTTGGAGTACATCAATCACTTCAAGCCAGCAGTTCTCCTTTTATAACCGATACATTTGGTTGGAATGTGGAGTCAAAAATCATGCATATCGCCCTCCAGTTGTAGTTGCATAGTTACAATAATAATATATTTTTATTACAATTTAAATTGAAATATATACTATTTACGCTCATCACTATTATACAATTTATTTACATTAAAAGATATAGGTATAAGATACTTTAATTAATTTTTGGGATAATTTAATAATTTTTGATGTCATAGCACATTAGACTGCATCTAAGATAGGTGATAGATAGATAATCCGATAGTCTCTACCAAACGCCGTCCAGTACACAAGACACAGCCTCTAAAATGTGCACTATCACAGAGTAATGACATAAACGTGGGGCTCCTGCGAGCCCCCGATTGCCCCAGGCCCGTACTCGTGCATATAAGTTACTTAACAATAATACTAGGCGTATGAAACACGTGGAATAACAATTCGTTACATAGCACTACACTTTGCACATTATGCTACAACAGACACTCGCTTCGTCGTAAATTATCAGTCCCTTATTTTCATAAACGCTACTATTTTTGTACAATATTAACATGACACTCGAGGTGACGCCGTCCGCCGGTTATGGAATGTTGGGGGGTCGAAGGTTTAGACGGTGAGGCCTTCTGTGCGCGCAGGGGGCGGGAGCGAGGCGAGGGGGTGGGGGTGGTGGGGCGCGGGCGGGGAGCCTTGCGCGGGCGGCGGAGCGTGCGGCGCGTGCGCGGGCGGCGAGCGGTATTCGCTCTCCTCGCGCATTTGCCGGCTGCGTTCGGCGAGCTCTCGGCCGCGCTCGGCGAGCTCTCGCATGGCGGCCTGACGCTCATCACCGCCCTCTAGTGACGGAGGTCGCTCCAAAGGCGACGCCGCGCCGGGGCGGGCTCCTCCGAACGCGCCGAATCCGAGCAGCCCCGGGAACTTCCCAGCTACGCCGTTCTGGCCCGCGCTCTGCTGTATCACTGATATTTCATTCAGCTGTTGGAGGAAAAGAACCAGAGGTTAGTTGAAGGTAGGTTTTGGTAATGTTCATGAAATCATATGTTTTTAGAAGTATTCTCAGAAGAATTCATTATAATGTCAACAGCTAGGGGCGCACAAACATGTAACGTACCTTCTGCTGCATGCCGTTAAGGAAAGGCGCGGGCAGGTACGGGTAGAAGAGGTCGGGGCGCCGCAGCAGGTCGTGCGGCTCGTGCAGCGGCCGCGGCGGCAGCTCCAGCGACATGCGGCGCCCCCGCCTCGAAGCGCCCCCGCTCCACATGTGCGTCCCCATATGCACCTGATAAACAAACATTTAAATTGAAGATAAATGACATAAAAACGACGACACGAGTTCAGACATTCCCGACAGTCATAATTTGTCCATGAATACCTGACGTTGAGTGATCGGTTAGGTAATGTGTATGCGCATATTTTGCTCTCGATCTTGTCAACATCAGAACGGTTTTTTTTTATAAATCGGTATAATCTCACTACTGACAGACTGAATTGTTTGAAAATAATAGGTACACTGATTGTCATAAATAAAATGTCCCTAAAACCAATTTAGGTATTTCGTCATCTTCATAAATCTATCGGTTCAGTATTATTTATTTACAAACATAGACTCTGATTCTAAGAATGACGCATTCAACGATTTTGCACCTTAGCGTTATCTGTCCTTATTACACAAAGGAAATGAACTGAACAGTAGTTTACAGCAATAAACTTTTTAAATAATTACATTTGGTTAAATTACATAAAGGTTTCGATGCCAATAGGGCACTGGCGGACTCACTAATAAGACTGCATGTAAATTACCTAATGGTAAGAAGGTTAATTTTAGTTGCATTAAAGACTACCCTACATTTGTTGAAAAAACTGCGTCGTTAATCATACCGATGTAAATTAAAAGGAACTAGGTAGCCAAGCAGTGAATTACAAGACATTGAACAGGGTTGCGTCATCAAGATATGCTTTTAGTTGCACGCGATCATTACATATGTAACAGGTCGTGTCTCGTTGGCTAGAAAACTTGGACGAGCAATGGTGAGTTTCTCTCATAAAATATTTACCTTTAGGTTCCCTTTGGTGGTGAAAGCTTTTTGGCAGACCGCGCAACGGAACGGTTTGTCACCGGTGTGCGTGCGCATATGGATCTGCAGGGCTGACGACGAAGAGAAGTTCTTGCGACACACCCCGCATAAATGCTTGGACGACGCCGGCAGCGGCGGGTGAGTCGGACCACTTGGTACTGTAAAAAAATACAAATTAAATTATATGGAAAAAACAACTCGGTAAATCTCTCAATTTATGCAAGCTTTTTTAGATTTCAAGATAGATAAAGTTGTGATTACAACATGTAACAAGCTCGATGCCTATGCAAATTAAACAGTTAATGGCAGTTTGTCCCTATAAATGACGGGTGGTATGCTAAAAGTTACCGTGTTTACTTCATAAGCGAACTGATTGATATTTAGGAGGGAAAAAAGTATTGAGGGCATGCAAATCGAGAGGTGTAAGGCGGGTGCTGCCTTCTGTGAGCTTGTTAGGCGAATAACTAAGTGCTATAGGAGCGCGTTCCTCGCATACTGGACCACTCAATTTAGCGGAGTGTGTAATAGCGCGTCTAAGTAGAGGGATTGCGTGGTTGACATTTCATGCCCATTTTTAGCTTTTTGGTTTGAGTCTAGCTTTAAAATGTCATCGGCATTGTCTTTTTAACGTAATGAAATTACTTTCTCTTCCTCCAGAATACCTATACATACTTTGTATCCAGAGTGGATGCTTAAGTTTTGCTTTTTATGCATCTCTCTAGAGATACTATATTGATTCGATAATAATGATTTGCTACCAGCAGATTTAAAGGTGANTAATCCGACAAAATCGCATGTTAGGTACTACTACAAGATGTAACGGTGTTTAGCTTGTCACTTTTGTATGCAGTATTGGTGCATTAATATGCGAATGCGACATTTTTTTAAAGTACCCCTCGTGGTAGGCTAAATATGCTTGTTTTACGAGTGGAGATTCACCCTCAGCGGCGGGGTTCACCGTTGGGTTGGGTTATTGATGTCTTTTGTTTTTAGAAGAAGAGCATTAAGGTTCAAAAATAGGTAACTTACTGCTCGGTCGCTTCGGCATCGGTGGCATATCGATAGGCGACGGGTGGGACATCGGCGGGGGATGCCTTGGCGGGGACCGCTTCAGGTCCATCTTGTCTGGGGACGAGCGCCTGTCAGGGCTGGGCTCGCGGGGCTCATCGCCCTGGGCGGACCCGGGGCCCTTGTCGAAGCCCGGGGGCATGTCGCGGATCTTGTGGGTCAGCATGTGCTGCTTCATGTTGCCCTGTGGATAGGGAGAGGAGTTAGTGATGGAGTTTTTTTACATGTAGTGATTTTATTAGTGTCTAACGCCCTTATTCACAAGTCTCACAGTGCGCGTGGACGCACAGGGTGACACACGAACCAATCACAGAGCTCTATTCAACGCTGTGCGTTCGATTTGCTGCTTCACTTAAGCAAGCATCGTTGTGAATACGGGCGTAAAATCTGAGTTGCACCACCTTACTATAACCATAAGTTCAACCATAACCGGTGTTTTTGTATGGAGTTTGACAGTCTTTTAACC